GGTCCCCAGGGGCTCAGGGGAATAGCCAGCAGTGCCTCTGCCCCACGCCAGGCATTGTTTGGGGTCCAGAGGGGATTGTTCTCCCGGGGGCATAAAGGGGATTGTTACCCCGGAGGGTGGACCGAGAGACAGGGCTGTACACCTTTCTCCTGCAGTCTCTAAGCAGGACTTATAGCCATCCTAAATCCTAACATTTAGGAATGGGCTTCCTCAAACCACTCTGTCAGTCGCTGCAGTGAAGTTCCAGGGGCTGTCAGCGGTGCCTGTGAAATGTGCCCAAAGGTCAATGGCCTGAGCCCTAAGGAACAAGAATTGAGGTGGTCTTCACTCTGTTTCCTTCAGCAGCTCATCCCCTGTGAAACAGCGTGGCAGGGTTAGGAGCCTGTTTGCAGCCTGGCCTTCCAGCAGGGAGCAGATGGGAAGGGGAATGGCTTGGCCTCGGCAGGGGTGGGCACAGCTGGGAGGGGGAGCTCAGCCTGTTTGGTTTGGGTTTGTAGCATGTGCAGATCATGGGATGGCTTGTTCTCCAAAATCTTGGGCTGCTGGCAGATCCCTGTCACTGGTGATGGATGGTTTAGGGAATGAGGATTGAGATTGTACAGCTGTCTACAGAATTATAGAGTGGTTTGGGTTGGAAGCAACCTTAAAGCTCTTTCAATTCAACACCCTGCCATGGGCAGGGGCACGTTCCACTAGATCAGGTTGCTCCAAGCCCCATCCAAACTTGCCTTGAACATTGGAGGGATGGGGCAACCACAGCTTCTCTGGGCAAACAGGGCCAGGGCCTCAGCACCTTCACAGGGAAGAATTCCTTCCAATATCTAATCTAAGCCTGCGTCTTCTCCATCTTAAAACCATTGCCCCTTGTCCTGTCCCGCTCTGTCCCTCTAAAAAGTCCCTGTCTCACCTCTGCAGATTTTCAAGAAGGTCCTAAGTCCCCTGCTCTGAGTTAGCCCTGCTTTGAATGTTTGGCAGGGGGAGTGCAGAAGGAGCTGGAGAATTTCCAGAGAGCTCTTTCAGTCTTCAAGGAGAGCTTTACCCCCAGGAAAAATGATGCGCCACCAGCACTTCATTTTCTTTTTCCTTCTAGCTCCCGACTTGTGTTTCCTAAAAGAATGAGCAAATCTATGCAGGACTTGGAAGTAACTTCCCCACCAGTTGGTTGGGGTATGACAGCACTCAGAGAAGTCGATACTTCCATTCCCTTTGCACAATTTTAAATCACAGGTGAGCAGTAAAGCAGTTGAGTGGATTTTTTGACTCCTCCAAAAAAAGCACTCCAGGTCTCCAAAAGGAGCAATTCCTCTTCTTGGGAGCACTTTGTAACACATGAGAGACTTCCCGATGTTCTTGGCTTTCCCCAATTGTATTCCAGACAGGATGCATTGCTTATTTCCAGTGTACCACTGGAGGTCACTCATGTACTAACAAACAGTGCAGTGCTGCAGGGAAAAAGGGAATATAAACTATCCAAGAATGAACTCAGCTTGAGTTCAAGATGACCTTCAAATGGAAGTGAGTTAGGAAATATGTTGTACAGATATTTCTCAAATTTACAGTACACTATATTAAAACTAGCAAGTAAACTAGTGATTTTAATTTTTTTTATACAAAGACCAAAAAAAAAAAGAAAAAGCCCATAATATTATCAAGCCATGATGTAGCTACGGTAACAATGGAATTGCAGCATTTCTCTTTGCCAAAAAAGGCAGAAAGAGGAAAAGATAACCACCTCTAAAAATGGTCACTGAGGCCACCTGAGCGGAACAAGAAATTGCAAACAAAACGGCATGTAAGATAGGAAAGGAGAGATTGCATGGGAATTTTCTATGGCATTTCTGAGAGGAGAACAACTTGCATGGAAGAAGTAATAAACTCTGTTTCATTACTTGTTTCTATATCTTTCTGTTAATCTACTTTAGCACCAACCCTCAAATTTTATGACATATCTTTGCTGAAATTGCGAGTTGTAGAGCAAGGGAAATTGTTAAAATGTTTTCCTCTTTTCCCTAAACAAAAAAATTAATATTGATTTCCTGCTCTGAGGCAAAGAATTAGGAAATGCAAGTCCTGTTTCACCAATATCAATGCAACATCTCATCCCAAATGGGCCAAGACTTGTGGTTTTATTTCAAAAGCAAACTGCTACGGGCTGGTAACTCTCTACCTCAGGCTCCAGGCCCATCAGCATTCATACCAAAATTCCCACAGTATGAGAGAGCAGACTAAAGTCAGACAGATACATGTCAATAAATAAGGTATTGTTTACATATTATGAGGGAGAAAAAGGTTCCAAGCAGCTTTAGTCACCTGCAGAAGAGGGAAAAAGATCTGTGGCATTTGGTGTTTGTGCAACACTTTGTGCAGCTCTAACTTGCTCTGCACCTTTAACTTACTATTTATATATTGCCTTTGGATTCTGGAAGCTTCTAGGGGGGTTCTGCAGCTGCTGTGTCCCACTGGCTGCTTCCTGAGTGATGGATCCTTGATTTGAAAGTAGCTGCATGTTCAGTAATTCTCTGCCTGCTGGGAGGGAGTGTTGAACTGGGCTTTGCCTGCTCCGTCGGTACACTGCTTCCACTGGGAGATGGGAGAAGAGCAAGCAGAGCTTTTGGTCTTGTGTGTGGGTGCTGGGGAATGGCAGAAACTCTCCTCCCAGCAGTGGGGACTGAGTGACACCGACGCTGAGGAGCCACTGGGCCTGAGCTCCAGCAGCAGGGAAGAAAGTTCCCTTGGCACGTGAGTGGGGACTGCCCAGGCAGGGCTTGGGCAGGGGGATGTTGTGTCTGAGCCTCTCCCAGGGCTGTAGGTGATGGGCTCCTTCCCTGGGGGAGCTGTGGAGTGGTGCAGGGGCTGCGCCCAAGGACTTGCAGAAGGAGCTGTGCAGACTGTTCACCCTCAGGGAGGAGAAATGGGATATCAGCAGCGTCTGCGCAGAGGGGAGAGCCTGAGCCTGTGGTGCAGGAATGTCTGGGGGCTGTGCTGGCTGGAGCAGTGGATGGGGACAGCCCTGAGGGAAGTTGCTGAAGATCCTGACTTGTGACAGCAGGAGAAATATTACTTGTCCCTGCTCAGACCTAAATGCAGAGTTGCTCTGAGCCCTCCTAGCCATGGGAGGGGAGCAGAGGCTGTTAAGGAAACCTTCAGAGCCAGCTGTGCCCCGCTGGAGCATCCCCAGTTGTGGAAGCAGTTGCAGACTCCCTTCTGTGGGGAATAAAGGAACTTGTCTGCTGACCAGACATGCTGTCCTGGGAGCTTTGCTCTTTAGGAGTGTCCAGGTGCTGGGTGTTGAAGAGAGATGGTCAATGCTCATCCAGCCTCAGGGAATGGGTGGGAGGATGGTGAGAACGGAAAGGAGAAAGGGAGGGAGTTGTGGTCTCATTAGTAGTGCTGCCTTTATTTCATTGAAAGAATGTCAACCACAGGACCATGTACCCTCCCTGTAGCTGAGCTGGGCCTGTGTCCAGTCATGAAGAAGAAATCCCACCTGGCTACTTAGTTGGTATTTTGTCCTGTAGTAAATCCAATATCCTGAGCATTTAAAATCATGGATGTGCTAGAGATGAAGAACATCTCCCATATACCAGTTCAGCATAGATGTGACATTTCTTTACTGTAAGTGACCCTAGTTCTGGACATCTGTTAGAGAACATTGTGCACTGTCATTACGGGAGGCTGCTCTTGGCCTCCCAGCCACGATGACGGCGTCACCAATGAATTCTTCTTTAAGAAACCAAGAGACACCTCAAGACCTGCCCTTGTCCTTGTGGAGGAATTCACCTGTCCAGGTGTTAACTGGCAACCCCACACAGCTGAGTCAACAGGGCACAGAAGATTCCTAAAACACCTGGGTGACAACTTCCTAGTACAGGGGCTCAGGGAGCCAACTGGCAGAGGTGCCCTCTGGGATTTGTTGCTTGTTCCCAGAGAGGCTCTCATGGGTGAAGTGGCCATTGGTGACTGTCTTGGCCACAGCAATGGTGCACCCGTCAAGTTTCCCATCTCTGGTGGTTCTCCTGCTCCCGTCTTGCTCCCGAGATGGAGCAGGCACAGGTGAGCACAGCTGGAAAACCACCATCTTTTATTATAAATGTGTCCATGGCGAAGCTGCTGTCCCAAAACAGGTTCTTTTACCCGTTGTACAAGAAGCCAATCCCCACACACAGAGTTAAAGTATTTCATTTATTTATTTATTTCAGTTCTGCACAGAAAGGGGTGCTGGGTGGCAAATTCACAGGGCCAGAACACCTATCAAAAGTTTTCCCTATATATACATTTTATCAAACAAGGCATTAATGTTCATTGGCTACAAATTATATGTTCCTCTCATTAAATTAATATAGTAAATATTTTCTTAGTAATAATAACAATTAAATAATAATTAAATATTATCCTCAACAGAAATCTTAATTAAAAATTATAGCATTATTTCTTACTAATAATTTAAAATTGTGTATTATTTTCATATCTTATAATATTGTTATAATTTTATTGTTCCTCATGAAAATACTAGCTTACTCTAACACATTAAATAATTAAGAATTAATTAAGAAATATTATTAATCTAACTGAAGATACTACTTCATATTCTATCTTCTATTGGTTAAAAGACTTCCTCCCTTCTTATGCTCATTAGCTTTCTACACCTCCCTTACGTCTGGGATCACTGAAGCCTGCCTAGTCCTAAACCTGACCCAGGCAATTCTACCAACAAGGAACTGATCCTTCCAAGGCCTGGCCATCCAGGCCAGCCCGTGCTGCTCCCTCAGGGAGCTGTGCAGGCTCCAGGTCAGCTCTCATCTCCGGGGCCCGGCCTGGTGCTGGCAGTGGGCACTAATCCTCCGGCCGTCCCGCCATGCAGGGGATCCGGAACAGCCGGCGCAGAGCCCGGAGCACCCTCCTGGAGCAGGAGGGACGTTTCCTGGGGACCTGGCTCTCTGCCCCTGCCTCTGGCACCTGCTCTCTGGAGTCAGGAGAAGCTTCTGCCTGTGCCGACTCCTGGGGAGCAGGGTGAGGGTCCTGCAGGAGCTGTGGGTACTTGGGGTTGACCCAGATGGTGCGGATGGTGATGTATTTCCACAGCTTCTCCTCCTTGGCGAAGGACCACTGCTCGGTCTGTGGCTCTGGCAGCTCTGTCTCCCCCATTGCCCCCTCCTGACAGCGAGGTGAGGGGCTGGGGGGGCAACAGGGGCTGTGTGGGGCAGGGCCCGGGCTCTCTGCCCCTGCTGCCTTCACCTGTTTCCATGAGGCAGGAGAAGCTGCTGCCTGTGCCGACCCCTGGAGAGCAGGGTGAGGGTTCCACAGGAGCTGTGGGTACTTGGGGTTGACCCAGCAGGTGTGGCTTGGGATGTGTTCCCAGTTCTCCTGCAACAGCTCTTGGTAAATGTTGTCTCCCTCTTGGGACAACACTGGGTCTCCTCTGGCTCTGACTTCCCCTTCAGACAACTCTGGGTCTACTCTCACTTCCCCTTCGGACAGCTCTTGCTCCACGGAGCCTTCCCATTGGCAAAGCACTTTGTCCCTGTCATCTTCTGCCTGGGACAGCTCTTTGCCCCTCTTGCCTTCCCATTGGGACAGCTCTTGGACTTTCACATCTACCTCTGGGGACAGTTCTTGGACTGTCTCACCTTCCGACTGGGACAGCTCTTGGATTCTTTGGTTGTCGCATTGGGGCAGCTCTTGGACTTTTTCATCTTCCCATTGCAATGCTTCTTGGTACTTCTCAAATTCCCATTGGAACAGCTCATAGACTCTTTCCTCTCCCCATTGCAATGCTTCTAGGTATCTCTCAAATCCCCATGGGGACAGTTCCTCATATTCCACATCTTCCCATTGGGACAGCTCTTGGATTTTGTCAGCTTCCCACTGGAACAGGATATTGTGAGGTTGGGAGTTGGGATTTGCCCTCTCCTTGAGCATCTCCATTGTCTTCTCCCTCAGAGGCTCCCAGGGAGCTGCTGCCTCCTGAGCGAGGTGCTCTCTGCACAGAGGACACCCCAGGGCTCTGCGCCCCTTCAGTGCCCCCCACCCCTGGTGTCACAATGGCCTCTGGGCACGACGTGGCCCCCGCGTCACAAAGGGCCTGGAACACAGTCCTGTCACAAAGGGCCACCCCTGGCACCCCAACAACCATGGAACTGGCTGGAACCACCTGGAACCAGCTGGAACCGGTTGGATCCACCTGGAACAGGCCTTGTCTGGCTCTGGGCAGCCCCCAGACCTGCAGGCCCTGGTGTGCCCAGACCCCTGGGAGGCTTTTGACACGGTCCCACACGACATCCTGATCTCCACATGGAGAGTCATGGGTTTGGAGGGTGGGCTACTCGGGGGATGAGCAATTGGTTGCAGGGATGCAGCCAGAGAGTTGTGGCCAGTGGCTCCTTGTCCAGGGAGAGGCCAAGGACAAGGGGTGTCCCTCAGGGCTCAGCCTTGGGACCAGGGCTCTGGAATGTCTTTACCAGTGACACAGACAGTGGGATTGAGCTCACCCTCAGCACAGTGGCAGGTGACAGGAGGCTGAGCAGGGCAGGTGAAAATAAAGGATGGAGCCATCCAGAGGGACCTGAGCAAGTTTGAGAAGTGGGACCATGAGAACCTCATGAGGTTCAGCAAGGCCAAGTGAACGGTGCTGCACCTGGGTCAGGGCAATCCTAGAATCCCAGAATCATCCAGGTTGGGAGAGACCAGCAAGTCATCCAGTACCATCATCACCCCTAAACCACATCCCTGAGTGCCACATCCACCCCCATGGCTGGGCACAGGGGAGCAACTTGGAACTGCTCTGTGGGCAGATGCACAACAGGGACATGCTGTGGGAAACCGAAACATGGTGGGACAGCTCACACAACTAGAGCTCTCCAGTGAAGGCTCATTAGGAAATGAAGGGCTCATTAGGTAAAGACAGAGAGGGAAAATTTGGAGGAGAATTTTCCTTTATGTGAAGAAGCAGCTTGAACACATGGAACTGTTCAGTATATGGGCAACATCTTGGCCGAGAGCTTGTGGGTCACCAAGGATTTGAGTGTGGCACAGTGTTGGGAATTTGTTACAGAGCCACTTCCTCACCCTCCTCACCCGACAATGTCCTTGAAACAGCTTAAGGAGGGCACATGGTAAAGAAAGAACTTGAAACTGAGATGCAACACACAAAAAACAAAGCAACCAGAAACAAACCAACCAACCAACCAACCAAAGTTATAGTATACAGAAAGCAGAAGCAAAAACAGACTAGAAAGGAAAAATTTGAAAATGCAGCTTCATTGCGTGAGGATAAAAAAAATTCAGCTTGAGTTCAAAGTGGCAAGGGGAGATTTAGGGCAAAGAGCTTCTAGAGATGCATCAACAGCAGCCAAATAAACAAGGAAAATGGAGGCCTGTCATGGTGGCCAAGGGACAGAGAAAACAGAGAGAGCTGGGAAGCCCAGCACTGCCTTTGTCTTCAACAAGAAGATTAAGTTGTGAGGACACAGAATCCGGAATAATTCTGCACTGAATTCTATAACTGACTACCTGCTACATGGAATAAGGGAAGTTCTTGTGAGACTCTGAGATTATAAAAGATCCAAAGA